AGTTTTCTTGTCCTCCGCTTCCTGCATTCACTGCCCCCTTTGCTCTATCTTCCCTGGGTGGTCTGCCACTTGGCCACACCAGACTGTCCCCTTATCCCTAATCAAAATAGCCCCAAAGTATTCCTCTCTCCAGAGGAAGTAGCAGGTGATGAATGAAACCTGATGCTAATGACAGCATTAGGATTGGCAGGAACTAGCTGTTTATTTTGATGCATTAGATGCATGAACATAGATGTATGTATAAATTGGCAAGTTTATACATACATACCACAACCTTACCCAACCAGGTATCTTCCAGATGTTTTGGACTATAACTCCCATAAGTAGTCCAAAACATCAGAAAGGGGTCTGAACTGGCAGCGATTGAGCAGGAAAGAGATATTGGAATGGTAATGGATAGCTTTAAGGATGATGTCAACCCAGTATGTGGCAGCTGCAAAAAAAAGATGAATTCTCTGTTAGGGGTAAGTAGGAGAGACCGTTGGAGGGAAAAACACACCTGCCAATAATGGAATTCTGCTATGAGAATCTATGGTGCAATTGCCCGTGGAATATTGTATTCAATTGTATTGCATCCTCAAAAAGGATATTGTAGCGCTGGCAAAGGTTCAGAAAAGGGCAACCAACGTAATCAAAGGCATGGAGAAAAGGTTACAACATTTGGGGCTTTTTTGTTTAGAAAAGAAGGTAAGGATGGGATTTTCCTACCATGTGATGGTCATCAGCTTGGATAATTTTAAAAGGGAGATGGGCAGACTTGTAAAGGATAAGGCTGTCCATGGCTGTTACTTAGGATATCTGTGCAGTACCTCCAGTATCAGAGGAAGTATACCACTGAGTGTCAGTAGCTGGGAAGCAGAAGTGGGGAGAATTGTGCTGTTTCTCTCATGTCTTGCTTTGAAGGCTTCCCATAGGCATCTGGTTGGTACCTGTGAAAACAGGTTTCTGGGTGAGATGGGCCTTTGGTCTGATCCCACAGGGTTCTTTATAACGTTCGCTTATTTATTTTATTTGCAGGTATAGATTACTTTTTACCACCAAACTGATCCAAAAAGCGTTGTCCTTGCATTCTGCCAGATGTTGTTAGATTCCAACTCCTCCCTTAGCCTCTTCCAGCGTTGCCAAGATTGCCACAATCGCTACATCAGTGCAAGGGAGTAATACCTATTGCAGGCTGTGGGGCTCACTTTGGGGGAAAAATATGCACAGGATTGTTCTGTAAGGCTGCCATCTTTTTCAAATATTCCCTAGAACTGGGTGGTCCAAGGCATGCAGCCCTCGAGGCATTTTTTGGCTGCCCTCAGCAACATTTCACACACACACACACACACACACACACACACACAGCCTTTCCAAAGCTGGGTAAGCGCTTTGGGAAGGAAACATGAGGGCACTGATAGGGTCCTAGAGCCCTCCCTGCCTCCTAAAATCTAGTTACCATAATGCTTTCCCAGCTTACCTGGCTTTGGGAAGGCAGCAGGAGGGGAGGCGGGGTGAGAGCAAATTTTGGCCTTGCTCCCCACAACGCAACAAGGCAATGTGCAGCCCGCAGGTTCCATGTTGAAGCATTCTTGCAGCCCACTTGGTATGAAAAGTTGGACTACCCTGTGCTAGAAGCAAGCTGCACAGGATCAAACTGTAGGTCACTGAAATGGAAGAACAGTTTGGCAGATTTGGTTAAGGAAGGCTGAACTATGGCAGCAGTCTGTGTCACGTGTGGGGAGCCTTTGGCCCTCCAGAAGTTAGTGAAGGACAACTCTCGTAATTCCTGGCCATTGACCGTGCTCGCTGGGGCAGATAGGAGCATAAGAGCACCATTTCCTTTCTTATCCTGTATTAGCAATGCGCATACTGGGCACAACTGTGCTATTTAACCCATACCTTATATTTATTTTTCTTGCTGCTGCTGCTGTTATTGGGGTGCGGTGCTGCTGCTGCTGCTAATTCTGGAGACTTTGCCTTGTATCAGAGTAAGTCAATTGTCCATCCTATGAAATCAGGAGCAAGCACCATTTGAGTTCACCTTGGCTTACTCCCAGAAAGCTATGCAGACCATTGCAGTAATTGATTGCATGGCTGATCAGGGACCAACCCTGATCTTCCCAAACAGCTGTGAACATGCAAACTGTTCCATCTCTCTTTACTAGCTCAGTGCAATATTCTGGGATTGACACCTGAACCTAATAAACTGGGTGTTGCGCTATTATCCATGGGGGAGGTTGGTGGGGATTGTGTTGCATCTAACGCTAGCTCTCCTTAGAGTAGACTCATTGAAATTAATGCATTCTGGTGTTGGTGGTGGTTTTGGTTTTGGCATTTCATTGCTCACATCCTTACATCCCCTCCTGAGCCTTCCCCATGCTGATATCCTTTAAATGTTTTGGATTACTTATGGGAGTTACGTATGTGTGTAAACTTGCCAATTTATTATGTCATTCATGCATCTAATGAAGTTGAGTGTGGTTCATGAAGCTTATGCCATAATAAATTGGATCGTCTTTAAGGTGCCACAAGACTCTGTCCTTTGTAGCACAAAGCACATTTTGCAGCTCAAAGAATTCTAGGAATTGCTGTTTGCCAAGGGTGCTAGGAGCTGTTGCTCTGTGAGGTAACTACTGTTTCTAGGTTTCTTTGAGGGGAAGCAACATCTTAAATGTCTTTAAATGTGTTGTGTGTTTGCAACCTGTGCTGTTTTTGCAGAACCCTGTTCTTTAACTACCCAGGAAAAAATTGGAGTCGATGGGAAATGGGCAGAAGTGGGATGAAAGGGATACCTCCAGATTAGATGCAATAAAGGACAGCAGTACAATATCTTTTTAACGGTTATACGGAGGAGGAGGAGGAATTTCAGTATTGCCTGCTTATCTTATCGTGTCAGGATGCTCTGCAAGTCCCTGTGAACCTTAACGTAAGATCTTCAGCCAACTGAAAAGCAAACTTCAGCTTTCAATCAGAAAAGCAAACAACCTTGCAGAGAAGTCTAGGTTGTGCCCTAGGTTTGGACAAATATTGAATTCTGAAGGGGGGTGCCTTAAAAGGATTGTGGGGTTCTCCAAGGTTAAGAGGGATTTGCACAAAGCACCCTGAGTTGAAGCAGAAAGCCCCCCCTCACCCACCCCCCATGTTTGGTGGACTCAGATTTTTTAAAAAACACTGCACTATATTTATTAAAAAGCGAAACTAATGTGTGGGGAGGGCGGGAGAGGTCCTGTGTGATTGACAGGTCTCGTTTGCAATCACAGGGAATGATTTTACCAGGACTCTCCAATCCCTGTGCTCTGAGGGAGGGAAATTGATGGAAGTAAATATAGCCTTGATTCACGTGGTTTTCTTTGCTCTTTTGCAGATTTTGTCTCTTAGGAGTAGGAAGGAGCGTTAGCAGAGTTCTGCTGGCGCATAGGCTTTTCTTAATTAATTTCCTTTGCTTACCAGCTTCCAATTCTCTGCTTCCAAATCCTCACTGTTCTTTTGCTCCTTTTGAATCTGTTGTGCCTTTCCCCCCCTGAGTTGGATCATTCCAATTCCTCCTCACACCCATTAGAGTCCTCCTTTTTCACATTCCTCTTGCTGTTGTGGTGTTTGAACCTTTATCTGTGCTATACATTTAAACTGCCACAAAGAATCCTGGAGATTGTAGTTTGTTGCAAGTTGTTAGGAGACACCCCCCCACCACAACCTCGGAACTACATTTCCCAGAGTTCCCTGGGATGAGTGATTGGCTGCTAAATCACTGGGAGTTGTCACTTGTGTGAGAGGAATGATTCTCAGGACCCCTAACAAACTAGCTTCCAGAATTATTTGGGGGAAGCCATGACCATTTTAAGAGGAATGATACTGCATTAAATGCACTGTGCAGAATGGGTTGTGTGTTAAGTGCTGCTGATTGTTTCTTATTACTAGGCAGGTCAGTGTATCTCCTTCTCCCTTAGAGTTTGCTCTAAGTTTAAGGTAAAGGTACCCCTGACCATTAGGTCCAGTTGTGGCCGACTCTGGGATTGCGGTGCTCATCTCGCTTTATTGGCCGAGGGAGCCGGCGTACAGCTTCCGGATCATGTGGCCAGCATGACTAAGCCGCTTCTGGCGAACCAGAGCAGCGCACGGAAACACCGTTTACCTTCCCACCGGAGCGGTACCTATTTATCTACTTGTACTTTGACATGCTTTTGAACTGCTAGGTTGGCAGGAGCAGGGACCAAGCAACGGGAGCTCACCCGGTCACGGGGATTCGAACTGCTGACCTTCTGATCAGCAAGTCCTAGGCTGTGGTTTAACCCACAGCACCACCCGCATCCCTTGCTCTAAGTTTAGGGTGTGCTATATAGTCTTTTAGTGATTTCACTTTATTTTATAATTAGTTATACAAAAACCTGTAATTACTATTATTTATTTTTAAACAAGTTCAACATGTGTGCATGTAGTCCATCAGTGATGATGATATCATGCCTCTGAAAAATGTCTCGGCGCTCTACTCCTACCCGCCCCCCCACCCGCCTTCTTTACTGGTAATGACTATTCATGAAGCAGTGTTGAAGATAACACAAACAGAATAGCACCGAAAAAAGGGGGTGGGAGTTGTCTGTGCACTTTCATAGCTCTAAGTGCTATTGGACTCCAACTCCCATCATCCCACAGCAGCCTGGCATCTTCAGGTAGCACTAGGGGAGACCCCTGCCTGACACCCTAGAGAGAGCTGCTACCAGTCAGTGTGGACAATATTAAGCAAAAGGGACTGGTTGTCTCAGTACAAGGCAGCTTGCTATGTTCCTGTACCCACCTGTCTTCCTCTTCCCAGTTTATTCAAGAGAAGCTGACAGGTGGTGCGTTTTTTTAAAGCTCCCTTGAAAACTATTCCATGCACTGAAAATAATGGCCTGTGGTTGCCATGGGGCCCAAGTGATTGCTTTCAACTCACCATTCAGGGGGCAGAGGCAGCAACTGCAAAGTGAAAGAGGCAGGCTGATGGCTTCACCCCACCCACTGCAGTGAAGGCGATAGGGATGGTTAGGATGAGAGAGAGCTTTGAAGCCCATGTTAGTCAACAGTCTTCCAAGGTACTTTTCTTGGCATGAAACGATCCTCTTCGGCAACTCAAGCTGGAAAAATACCAGTAGACTTTTAAATGTTTGGTGCTGATGCCTAAGAATTTTGATAATATCTCTGTGCGTGCTCTGGGCAAGAGCCTAGCATTTTTTTGACGTTGGCTCCTGAAAGCTGGGCTCTGGTCCCAAGGCCTTTTCATTCCTCACCCCTCCACCCCAAGCCATAAGGCTGAGCAAGAATGCCGCCTCCTCCAATCGTGGCAAATAGGGGAGAGCATTTCAGATGATTTGGGGAGAAGGATTATTTGCACGGTTTGAGGGGAAGAGTTCAGTGAGTGGCAGTAACAGTGGCCCTTTCTTTAGTAAAGTTGGGTTTGCCAGCACCCTGCAAGCCCTTGGAACGATGTGATGTTGTAACGTTGGGGTGTTTGCATGTTACATTTAGCGAGGGTTCAACATCCAAACCCATGTACACAAATACACTCGTATAGTTATTCACATGTTACCTTCAATGTGCGCACAGTCCGCATACGCAATAGCCGAGCAACGCATGTACACTGTCTCACACAAACACCTGTGCATTTGTAGTGACAGCTTATACCTGTGTTCAGTGTAACGTGTGAACAATTTTATATAGTGTCATTTTAGAAGTGCTGGGAGTGAGGGAAGGAGAGAAAGTGATAGTGGCCACCATTTAGTCATTCAGGTTGGTACATGTAGTTCTTCTAAACCCCCCCCCCCCCTATTTTATCCCCACAATAACCCTGTCAGGTAGATTAGGCTGAGAGATTGTGGCTTGCCCAAGGTCACTTGCTGAGTTTCATGGCTGAGTGGAGATTTAAACTCTGGTCTCCCAAGTCCTAATCTTGCACACTGGTGTGGCAGGAGAAGATGGCAAACATGGCAGGAAGACAATCTGTTATATTTTGGGAATGGTTCATGTTCATGTTATTATGTAGCTGCATTCTTTTATACTTTCTGGACCTCCCAGGATCATATTAGAAAGTAGTTGTGTTCTATAATATAAATCAGGCATTGCTAGGAGTTGCTTTCCAATGTATTTCTTATCCACACAAAAATTGGTGTGACACGAGCAAATTTTTAATTTGAAAGTGTGGCTGGGGGGGTGGGATTGAGAACCACTTCTCTACCCCTTAACAAACTACAATTCCCAGGATTCTCCAGAAGAGGGGAGGCATGTGTTTTAAATTTATGGCGTGAATATGACTTCAGTCTCCTTTTGTTTTTTGACAGGCAACTAACTGTCATGGGTTTATTTATAAGGGTGTGATTAAATTTCCCTGAAACCAGCCCCTATTGCTGCTCTTCACCCAGTTTCTATTACTTAGCTGAAAACATCCAGTTCAGCCCTGGTTATCAGTGCTGGGCATATTCTGCAATAGTTAAGTTCTGAATTTGCTACTGGGTGCAGCTTTCAGCACCTAAAACATCTAATCTGTTACTCAATTTATAACAAACAAGTAAACAGGTTTCTTGCCCTCATGGCTATAGACATGAGCTTGCAAGTGTGCAAGCGATTCCTGCTGAAATCTTGAGAGTCGAGGGTGGGAGTAGCAGCAAGCAGGATTTCCAGTGGTCGGGAGATAGGGCTTTCACAGGAAAGGGAAATGGGGTGAGGGGTGGGGAGAGAAGTTGATGGGTGGGGTAGGGGGGGATGAATGAGAGAATAGAGACAGCCATGCCTGTGTGTATGTTCAACGCTGGAGATTGTTGTCCTTCACTGTGCATCTGTAGCCTAGAGCACATACATCTTGTTATATCAAAACTCATCTCTGCAGTGGAAGGTTGATAGTGGTGGTGGGAATTCAGATAAAGAGCCCTGGGGGCCATGCATGGTTATCTGTGCAGCTATGATGATTCTGGTATTACTCCAGCCAGGCTCTTGCAGGAATAGTTAAATTTTATTGCAATAAAGGAATCTGAGCAGTTGAGTCTCACAGCCATGGAGAATAACAACCTGCAGCCCAGGTCAGGCAGATCCATTCAGCTGAGCGTTAAGAGTCCCACGGCCAGAATCTAGCAAGGAAAAGCCAGATAGTGCTAATTATTGCATTTATAGCTCAGCTTTTGTCCAAGGCTGGCACACATAGGTTCTCCCCCTCCCCATTTGTATCCTCACAACACCCCTTAGGTTTTGGGTAGACTGAGAGACAGTGACTGGCTCATGGTCACCCAGGGAGCCACATGGCCAAATGTGGATTTGAACCCTGGTCTCTCAACTCCTAGTTCACCACTCTAAAACCACTACACCACACTGGCTGTAAACATCCTGGCTTTGGTTCTTGCAAAAGCAGTAGGGTCTTGCTGCTGTTAGCTGGCAAGTTGTTTTGAGTGAGGAAAGATGGAAGCTGCCTTATTCCAAGACAGACCATTGTCTACCTGGCCAAGGTATGGTTTACTCCTTGGCTGGGGAAACCTGTGACCCTCCAGGTGCGATTGGACTACAAACCCCATCTTCCATTATTGGGAGTAAAGCAACACTGTTTTCAGTAAGCTAGCGGAACCTGTTGGGAAGTAATAGACAGAAAGGTAATCTAGTCTTCCCTCACTGTAGTTCTCTCAGGCTTTAGTCCCTTCCTGCTTTTTATTCAGTGTTAGTGTTGGACCTGGGTTGTGGTGGTTGTTTTGTCATTGTTGTTGTTAACTTTCATGCTACAGAAAAGCCACATCTGGAAATCTAGAGGAATTTAAGTGGAAGTTTAGTGCTTGTTCCCACTTTATTTTTTTTCAAGGGGGACGAGTGGAATCCATTTGCAACCCTATTAACTTGGCAAATCTCAGGAGTTTTGCATTGTAGTTCCATGTGACAGAATTTAGGGCAGTATCCCAGGATACAGTTCTTTCCTGCTGTTCAGAATTTAGTGTGACATGGTGGTGTGTTGATCAAAAAGCCAGAGTGCCATAATGCAACAAAGTGCTGCAGTATAAAAGGAATGTTAAAAACTGGGACAGAAGAGCTAGCATTGTAACCAGCAAACGTAGCACAGTAACCCACATATCTGAAAGCAGCCTAAATTAGCAGGTCTCCAGGGTCTTGGACAAAGGAAGGTATTTCCTGTTTCCCACTACCAGATCCCCTTAAGTCAGATCCACCCCATGGATCATTCATTTGGATGCTGAGAACTGTAGCTCAGTGAGGTCTTAACAAACTACAGTTCCCAGAATTCTTTTGGAGGGAGCCATGGGTGTTGTAGTGGTGTAAGAGAACTTGAAGTGGATGTAACCTTACCTGGAGATGCCAGGGCTTGAACATGGGACCTTCTGCATGCAAACTTTCTACTCCACAGCAACTGACGTCCTTGAGCTTGAAATTAATACTAAAAATGGAACCGTCACATTTTAGAAGCAATGCTTGTTTTCTTTCATTTTAAAGAATGTATGTCCCACCCCTCATCACTAGTGATCTCGGGGAAGGTATCAGCAGTTTAAAATTCACTAAGCAATAAAAGTGAAATACAATTAAGAATCTTGGCTATGTCGCTCCTTACACAGCACGCACATACACAGCCAATTCAGAAGGCCGGACTGTAGAACAAAGTCTTCAGCTGGTGCTGAACGAGCAGCCTCAAGGCCCAGGAAGTACTATTTGGAGAGATGCGTTCCTTTAGATATCCAGATCCTTAGCCATTTAGCGTTGGAACTAAGCCTCTGAACTGGGCCTGATGAGAACTGTTGTTATATGCCTTTCTGCAGACATTCCCATTAATACTTTGGCAGCTGCATTTTGCAATGTCCATGAGCAGTCCTCAAGGGCCACCCCACATGGAATGAATTGCAGTAATCCAACTTATAGGTAATTTGTGCCCCTATCTTTATGGCCAGGCATTCTCTTCCCAGGAGTGGCTGTAGCTGGTGAAAAGGCCAGAGCTGGAAAAAGGCACTTCATACCATTACAGCCACCTGGGCCCTAGCTACAGAGGAAAATCTAGGAGAACCCCTCAGGCTATGTACCTGGTCCTTCAGCGGGCATGCAACCCTCTCTAGAACAAGCTCTCTCTCTCTCTGTTTCATCAGCCCAGGAACTACCAATCTGCAGTATCTCTAACCTATCTAGGATTTATGTAGCTTCAGTGTTTTGGCCTTCCTCCATCTCATTATTGCCTCCAGACACAAACTTCACCAGGTGGCAAGGAGAAACAGAGCTGAATGTCATTTGCATATTGACATAGTTTTCTTCTATGTGTTGTAATTGTATATCTAGCCTGACTTAAGACAGACAAAACCTGAAGTTATATACTGTTCTTGTTCAGGTTATACAGTATTATCATTTTCTTTTCTCTCTGGACTTTGTCTGAAATATTTAAATGACTCTGCCAGCAAGGGCCTTTGGCCCTTCTCATCTCATTGTTCTACAGTGAGATGATGGCTTGACATGCCAGCCAGTCTATAAGGGTTTCCCAAACAGCATCCATCTGTTTTTTGGACTACAACTCCCATCATGCTTAGCCAGCAGGACCGGTGGTCAGGGATGATGGGGACTGTAGTCCAAAAACAGCTGGAGAACCCACATTTGGGAACCCTATAACACTGATGCTTGCAAGAAGCAACAGGAGATGGCTTTATTGATTGTAGCTGCACTTGGCTTGGCTCCTTGGCTGGCCACTTTTCAGTTGTAGACTTGCAGGATCAGCCCAAAGATCTAACAAGATGATTTAAAATAAAGCACGAACTACGTCTTCCTTTGGTGCTGAAGAGCTCAGAATATCCTTCAGAACTGTCAGAAAGGAACCATATGTTACAGTGCATCTCTGTTTCTCCCTGTGATGCTATTGATGATGGTAGCTAAAGTGGGTGCAGCAATGAACACAATTACTTTTTTACTTTACCTAGTTGGCCAGTTTCTACATTCTCCTCTCTATCCTTCATTCAGGCAAGGAATAGGCATGATCAGAATTCAAGGAAACCTTTTAGCTAGGCAAAGTTGCTCAAGGAGGAGGCAGAACAATATCAGAGATGGGTGCGGCCTAGGGTCAGATAAAGAGGCCTGATGTGGCCCTCTAGGCCCAAAGATTATAAACCCCTGCTTTATAATCTGCAACCAGCAGCCCTCGAGCCAAATCTGCCTTCTAAAGAGATTCTCCTGGTTCCTCAGCCTCCAGCCCTAAGGTGTGTTTGGAAGGAGTAGCAGCTGTGGAAAGCCTCCTTTGCAAGAGGAGAGGGGAGCCAGGCCCACCACCAGGGGGAGGGGAAAGCCCTGAAGAGATTATCCTTCTGATCTTAGAGCCATTTTCCTAAAGGTGTGTGAAGTCGAGTAAAGGAAGCATTTCGAAAACAAGGTCCCACTTGGCCTACAAGTCTGTGTGCAAACACAGGCTCATTCTCTCTTTTCCCAGGGCCTTGTCGATAGGAAGGAAGGAGGGACAGGCCTGCGACAATGGGCCAGCGGGAGTTGACTCAAACAGCCAATTCCTGGTGATTTCCTCTCCCTGCCGAGGGGGCCAGAGAAAGTGGGAAAAGGAAGTTCAGCCGAGGAGGACTGGAGGCAGGCGGATCGCTAGGAACAAAAGGGGCAGCTTCCTAAACTATTTTCAGCCCTGGCATCGCAGGACAATCCGCCTGAAGAAGCAGCCGCCTTGCAGATTTCACCTTGCTGCCGATTTCAGAACTGGACTAGGCCGAAAGACAGCAGGGGTGGGTGGGTGTCTGTTGCACAGACCAGGGTGCTGTGAAGGCATCTGCGTGTGGTGTGGATGCCCATGTGCATGCTTTGACACCGCTGGTGCTGCGTGTGGGACTCCAGCACTCATGGAGAGGGCAGGATCCTTGCTTATGTCCTTGCACCGAGCAGGTAAGTAACGCCAGTGGGTGGAAGGGGGTGTCAATGGGAAGGAGCTTTGATGTGCATGGAGCAAGGTGTTGAGTCTTGTTACCTCACTGAATGCAAGGATGGCAGCAACTGCTGCCGAGGGTGTTGCTAGCTTTGCGCTACAGTCGCTATGAATTTGCACCCAGTAGGAAGCTATAGAAGCCCCTTTATCGTTGGCATCCTTCTGTCTCGAGAGACAATGGAGTGTACCTCCGAGGGTGAAGTCAAACCACTGCGAGAGCAGTACCAAAGTGACTTCTCTGGGGCGCAATCCTGGGCAGTGTGTTTGGAGGTCCTGGGCTGCCCAGATGACAATTAGACCCTGCTCCCGGACTAGGTCACAGATGTGTGTTGGGCAAGAGGGGCTAGGTGAAATGACAAGATACATAGCAATCTTCCAAGGCTTTGTTTTGGAGACAACTGCAACACACAGCAGTGTATTGGGTACAAAGGAAGCTGGCTTCTACCCCAATCAGGCCATTGGTCTATCTAGCTCAATAATGTCTCCACTGACTGGCAGCAGCTCTCTGGAGTTTCAGACAAGAGTTTTTCCCAGCCCTGCTTTGAGGTGGCAGGAATTGAACCTTAGACTTCCTTCATGCGAAACCGGTGCTTTAACATTTGAGCTATAGTACTTCTCTTTTATTAAGCACATGTGGTAATTTGTGGGTGCAGGTGCAAATTTAGGAAAAAATTACTGTAATTGAACTAGAAATACAGTACATCTTCCGTGAGTGGGTAACCAATTGACCTGTGTTCTTGCTCAGTCTGTAATCCAAGTGTAAGGTCACTGCTCTCCCTTATTATGGCTCATTATTTTTAGACTGAGCTTCGACTGGATAGTCCTTAAAATAGAGGACTGTCCTCTGCAAATAAGACACACTGCATGCTAATACTGTAGAGAGAGAAAACTAATGGGATGTTATTAGTACAAATCTCTTATTTGGTGGGGGAAGGGGGCAAGAGATTTGTGTCTTCCCCAGGCAGGCAACTTTTTGCATGCATATCTGGTACAACAGTGGCACAAATGCACAAGCTTGTCTGCTTTGTATCTTTTCTCATGCAATAGCAAACTGGGATCTACAAAGCTGCCTTTGTTTTTCTTAAAAAAAAAAACAAAAACAAAAATTAAGTTGTTGTGTTATCTATCAGTTTTGGGCAGGGACAGGAAAGGTGGGTGGGAACAATTTGATAGACTTGAATCCCTGACAACATCTCTGCTCTTTTTCTGCAAGAGGACAGAGTAAGACAGGTTGTTTGAAAGATGAGATTATGGGTTTGCAAGGCTAATCAGTGCTGAAGGGGATTTCAGAAAGGAGAGGTGGGTTTTCATGCTTTCCCGGTCAGTGGAAACTTTTTTCAACGGGGTAGGGGACCTCAGGCTCAGGGGCCAAATGGTGCCCCACATACCCCTTTCTGTCCTGCCCTCAGGATTCTCCCCAGAGCATGCTTTAGGCTTCTTTTAAGTGCTTTTGCCTAACCAGCCTTGAACTAATGCCTCTGACTTGTCTGGATGGAGGATGGAGAGGTATTGGGGTAGGGAGGAGGGTTTAGAAACCTCTGCCTTCTTATGTTGCTGCAATGTACCCTACTAAACAAAGGTAAGAGTCATCCTGAGTGTTATATCTACTTTGCCTCTGGCCGTGCCCAACCCTTGCAAATGGCCATATGCCCTCATGAAGCAATGCAACCCTCAAGCTAAAAAGGGTACCCCCCCAGGATTGCATAGTTATTTCTGAAGAATCTTTCCAAGTATTTAGGTTGAACAGGTTTGGTGGTGGTGGGGTAACCTGGCACATATGAAGCTGCCTTGTTTATTAAGTGACACCGCTGGGCCATCTTGCCCGGTGGCATCTGCTGTGGTAGCAGCTTTCTCGGCTGTCTGTCAGGAGCCTTGCTCTTCACCTGCTACCTGATCCTGTTTTTAATGGAGAGCTGCTAGGGATTGAACCTAGGATCTTCTTCATGCAAAGCACACACACTGCTACTATAATGTTCAAATGCAGCGGAGACAGCATCAACCCCTCTCAAGTGCTTTCCCCATCCATTTCCTCAAAATGTGAAATGCTTCTTTCTCTTTGCCCAACCTCAGAAACTGTTCAACCTGTTACTCCCAGACTCGGTTTTGCAGGTACAGGTGTGCACCCTCGGGTAATTTTTTTTGAGGGCTGTTGCCAGGTTAAGGAAATCTCAGTTTGGTTATGGGTATGAGCTAATAAAGGGACGCGGGTGGCGCTGTGGGTTAAACCACAGAGCCTAGAACTTGTCCATCAGAAGGTTGGTGGTTCGAATCCCTGCGACGGGGTGAGCTCCCGTTGCTTGGTCCCTGCTCCTGCCAACCTAGCAGTTCGAAAGCATGCAGTGCAAGTAGATAAATAGGTACCAGTCTGGCGGGAAGGTAAATGGCGTTTCCGTGCGCTGTTCTGGTTTTGCCAGAAGCTGCTTAGTCATGCTGGCCACATGACCCGGAAAAACTGTCTGCGGACAAATGCCGGCTCCCTCGGCCAGTAAAGCAAGATGAGAGCCGCAACCCCAGAGTCATCCGCGACTGGACCCTAACAGTCAGGGGTCCCTTTACCTATGAGCTAATAAAGCAATTAATTGTTTCAGCCATGTTCAGACCTTCACATAAACATCAAGTAGTTAAAAATGTGGGTGGGGTCTCTCTCTCTTTCACACACACACACACACACGCCCCACCTCCAATGATCCCATACACATCAGCGCAGCTTGATCAGCTCCTGGCCTTTCCATGTTCAGTGGGACGGCCAGGTCTGCAGGGGGCATTTACTGGCATCCACCTGAGTCCGCCAAAGTGCGAAGAATTCTATGTGCATTCAAGTGAATGCAGCTAAAAGGCCCACACAAACTTTCTATGCTCTACATGTGAAAATCAAGGCTGCTGTGCACAGGAACCGACATGCACAGAGATTTTTTTTTTTGGGGTGTTTGTGTGTGCACCCCTACCCCTATCCCCACCTTTTAACTATTGCATGTTAAGGCAGCATGTTCAAATGTGGATATAATGTGATGGACATGTGCGTTGATTGTAGTAGGCATCCCCTTAGAAAATGCATTCCCTCCTGTCATAATTTCTCTTTTAAGAGGACGCTTTCCAACTGCAGTTTTTATAGGAACTTGAATCTTACAATGTTTTCAAAAATAAAACTAGTTTTAATTGATTAAGAAAACCAATCAGTTACATAAACAGGTTGGGTTAACAGCTTCACGTATTGTAAAATGGTAGAAGCATCTATTTCGATAAGTGCAAATTCCAAAGAATAGCTGCATTTTGCTTCTTGAATTGCTTGAGGTAGTGTGAATTCAGTAGATTCCCCTTTAAATGCATTTCTCCCACATCCCTATGTGCAGAGGAAGAATGAAACGCTCCACTTATCCTTCACCAGCTTGTTCTCTGTCTGCATCATAAGGCTCAGCTATGACTATCTCTTTCCTTGGCACCACAGGACAGCATAATGCCTGATGTTTTTTTTAAAGTTCCTGGCGACACCTTCAGCATTTTAAGAACATATGTGTGACTGAAGGCCTAGGATTTTGCAGCCCTGTAGTATCATTATGTATGATCTTTCCATGCATGAGACCTTCACCATGGTCAGAAGTACTCAAAAGAGAAAGGAGTCCAAGGTAGATGGGAGTTTCTTAAAGGTGAACCATTGAAAGCACAAATGCAACAAGAAAGAAAAGTGAGTAGAATCAAAAGAAAGCAGTGTGCCTGCATAAGGAGCTTACAGATGAGCTGAGATTTAAGAAGGGCATGGATAAGAAATGGAAGAAAGGGAAAATCATGAAGGAGGAGTATACAGTGGTGCCCCGCAAGATGAATGCCTCGCAAGATGGAAAACCCGTTAGACGAAAGGGTTTTCCGTTTTTCAATGCGCTTCGCAGGACGAATTTCCCTATGGGCTTGCTTCGCAAGACGAAAATGTCTTGCGAGTCTTGAGATTTTTTTTCGCTCCCCCCCCCTTTTTTCTAAGCCACTAAGCCTTTAATAGCCTTTTAGCAGCTAAGCCGCTAAGCCTTTAATAGCCACTAAACCGCTAATAGCGCTAATCCGCTAAGCCGCTAATAGGGTTGCTTCGCAAGACGAAAAAACCGCAGAACGGATTAATTTCGTCTTGCGAGGCACCACTGTACAAGAGTATTATTGTGGAGAAGTTGGTAAAACGTGGGCTGGACAATGTAACTGTTAGGTGGATTTGTAGCTGGTTGACTGACTGAACCCAAATGGTTCCTCATCATCCTGGGAAAAGGTGACAAGTCGGGTGCTGCGGGGTTCTGTCCTGGGCCCATTGTTGTTCAATGTGTTTATAAATGATTTGGGTGAAGGATTTGAAGGGATGCTCATCAAATTTGCAGGTGAAACCAAATTGGGAGGGCTAGCAAATTCTACAGACGATAGAATCGGGATTCAATATAAGCTTAACATATTGGAGAACTGGGCCAAAACTAACAATATGAATTCAAATAGGGACAAATGTAAGGTTCTACACTTAAGCAGGAATAGCCAGCTGCACAAAACTAAGATAGGGGGGACACTTGGCTTGCGAGTAGTACTTGTGAAAAGGTTCTAGGGGTCTTAGTAGAACACTAGCTTAACATGAGTCAACAGTGTGATGCAACAGCAAAAAGAAAAGAAAAGAAAAGCTAATGCTGTTCTAGGCTGCAACAACAGAAGTATAGTGTCCAGATCAAGGGAAATAATAGCAACACTATTCTTTCTTGGTCAGACCACACCTGGAATACTGTGCCCAGTTATGGG